AAGTTTCAGAAGTAGTGCCATGCACCTGGTGGAGACGGACTCTGAGGGAGAGGAGGAACAGCCGACGGGAAGTGGAAGTGTGACTCCAGAGGTTGTGGAGGAGGCTGGGGAAGGGCAGAGGCTGGCTGGACAGTCCAAGGTGGACCCAGGCCCATCCCCTCTCCATCCTAGGGCACGCAGGGAGGAGGATAAGGGAGAGACTTGGTCTACTGGGGAGGAGAAGGCCTTGATCTTCTTCATGGGCTGCAGCTGTGACAACTGGATAAGAGGACGGACATGCGTACAGGAGAGTGCTGGAAACAAAGCATGGAAATTTCTCTAGTTTATGGTTCCTCTCTGAGTTTGGCGTCCTTTCCAGTGTGTGTTCTGATATCTGTGGACGTCTTCAAGCCCTTATCTTGCATGGTTTATATTGTTTTTTTTACTCTTTATAATTTAAACGGCATTTCCTCCTTCTGGCAACTGCTTGTGTGGGAGGTTTTTTTATCTCCAGTCAAGGATATTCGGAGCTTGGAGGCAAAGTGAAGGAATAAAAGGGGCTTCACCTATTTTTTGTGACTGTGTTTATTTTGTATCCCACTCTGGGTCATCACAAGTAGCTTGCCTCTTTCTTCCTGGGGCTAAGAGAGTGACTGTCCCAAGGTCACCCATCTGGGTCTAGGTTAAGGCAGGACGAAAATTCACAATCTCCTGGTTTCTAAGCTGATGTCTTAACTACTACACTCAACTGTCTCTCCTGGGGCAATCCTTGCCACCACTGCAAACAACATTCCTCTTCTTTGGTCTCCTCTTGTTTACTTCACATGCAAAGAAAAAAGAAATAAACTCAGCTGCAAACCGAAACTTTTAATTCTAGCAAAACGCTACATCGGGTGATGAACGATCAACCTGTCGTCCACTGGCTATGAATAATTGCTTGACAACTCCTTCATTAATTGTAACATTGCCTGGTTAATCAGCTTTCTCTATCATTTCCCCACCTTCACAGTTTGTGAATGTCATTCTCATCTTTTGCGGAACCTGCTGCCTGCCAATTGAGTTATGTTGCTCTGGAAAAATAGGTAATGATGTGAAATGCTAACTTGCCCTTGTATTATAGCAATAACATTAGCACTTAGATTTATACACTGCTTAATAGTGCTTTACAGCCTTCTCTAAGCAGTTTTAGAGAGTCAGCCTGTTGCTCCCAACAATCTGGGTCCTCATTTTACCCACCTCGGAAGGACGGAAGGCTGAGTCAACCTTGAGCCTGGTGAGATTCGCTCTGCCAAATTGCAGGCAACCGGCAGTCAGCAGAAGTAGCCTGCAGTACTGCACTCTAACCACTGGGCCACTGAGGCCCTTTATCTATTTAAGTCTGCTTCCCCATTGGTTCATTGGCTTCTAAGCATGCTGGCTGGGGAATTCTGGGGATTGAAGTCCACCCATCTTAAAGTTACGGAGATTTTGAGAAACAGCATATGCTGCATATTATCAGGCAGAGAAAGAGAAATGTCATTTTGGACCCAGAGTGATCTCCTGTCTCGCTCCTGAAGGTGAAACGGTGAAGAGAGAAACTCTTACAAGGCAGCAACGAACAGAAGGAAAATCAAGGATGACGAAAGGAAGAGAAAAAGGGGTTGTAAAAAAAATCAACTGAAGTGACCCCCGCTCTTCTGAAGTGGTTAGAATTTCTGGGAGAACCTGTGAAGAGCTGGTTCAGACTCTTGTTTAATGTGAAGGTCATTATGTACTTTCAGCACATGGACGAAACTTAGATATCATATGTAACTGATCAAACAATCACACAACACAAAGTTGGCGTTCTTACAATGTCCTCAGCCTACAGGTCTTCCAGGTTGGGGTGGAAAAACGGTGGCCCCATCAGGATTAAGCAATGCCACGTGTCCTCCCCAAGGCTGGAAACTGGTCTTCCAAGTCCCCAAAGAGATTTAGCTGCCATTGAAGTTCAGCATCTGAATCTACATTACAGATATAGATACAGGTCGACAGGGATTGTAAGGGATCTTATAGGTCATCTATGTGAAGCTTCCACAACTTCTGAAGGCAACTTCTGTTCCATGGGTTGATTGTTCTCACTGTCAGAAAATGTCTCCTTATTTCCAGGTTGAATCTCTCCTTGATTAGTTTCCATGCATTATTCCTTGTCTGACCTTCAGGTGCCTTGGAAAATAGCTTGACCCCCTTCCTCCTCCCTGTGGCAGCCCCTCAAATATTGGAAGACCGCTATCCTGTCTCCCCTGGTCCTTCTCTTCCCTAGACTAGCCAGGCCCAGTTCCTGCAACCGTTCGGTGTATGTTTTAGCCTCCAGTCCCCTCATCATCCTGGTTGCTCTTCTCTGCACTTTTTCTAGAGTCTCAACATCTTTTTTTACAGTGTGATGACCAAAACTGGATGCAGGACTCTATGTGTGGTCTTACTAAGGCTTTATAGAGTGGTATTAGTACCTCCCTTGATCTCGATTGTATCCCTCTGTTAATGCAACTTAGGATTGCATTGGCTTTTTTTGGCTGCTGCTTGTTGGTTCATATTTAATTGGTTGTCCACTAAGACTCCAAGATCCCTCTCTCAGTTACTGCTATAAGCCTGGATTGTTGTTTTTTCATGTAACTACATGAAAAAAAAGGTTCCTGTGGGACAGTGGTGGGATTTAATTTATTTTACTACCGGTTCTGTGGGTGTGGCTTGGTGGGTGTGGCAGGGGAAGGATATACTGCAAAATCCCCATTCCCTCCCCACCCCACTAACCTGCTTTCCAGCTCCGTTCTCCTGTGCAGTGCAACCAAAGGAGACCCAGCCGATCAGCTGGGACTCAATGGGAGGCAGAGAAGAGATGGGGTTGGCGGGGCCAGTCAGAGGTGGGATTTGCCGGTTCTCCAAACTACTCAAAATTTCTGCTACCGGTTCTGTAGAACCGGTGAGAACCGGCTGATATACTACCTATGCAGTGGGAGAAAGTCAGGCCTTGGGTTTTGTTTTGCTTTTTATACTCCGCAGCCCAGACCCAAGAAAGAAAAACCACACTGTGTTAAGCTTTCTCTTCTCGGCAACCAGTTCTCACCAATCCAATGTTTTGAATCTCGCTCTGTTGTCCTATTAGAAGCCAAAGCAGATGGAATGTCCTTGATAAGAAGTCTCCCAGCGGTCAGGCTCTTTCATAAGGCTTTCATTGTCCTTCTTAAATCCACCCACGAAGCTCACTCAAACTCCAATTTATGACCTCCGGGCTATATATCCACCTGCCCTCTTATCAAGTTCCCTAATCACAGAACACCCCACGGAATTCAAACCTCGGTTACCAAGATTAGCCCGATAAAATCCACTTTATCTTCCTGTCTTCACCCTCGCTCCGTATTGCGGTGATGAAGTTGTTCAAATATTTACCTTTGATTTTTAGCCTATTATGCACCACCGCATCCTTCCATTAGCCCTTTCAGAAATCAGACACTGTCCTAGTTCTGGGGCAGAGCCAAATTGCAGTTTCTGGAGAGAAGGGGGTGGTGGTGGACAGGAAGAAACATCTGGCTCCACCAGCGAGTAGAGTGAAGCGGAAAGGAAAGGTGGCATTTGCAAGGGTGAGCAAACCCACGGGAGACCTACGTTGTGGTTCTCCCTGGGATGTTCCCGGAATCTGGTTTTTGCAAGTGTATTAAGGAGCTACTCAAAGTCTAATGGCTCCTGATGGCCCTAACAACGAATGGTGGAGCACAGAGATGGATAAGAAGAGGATAAAAAAGATAAAAAGAGGATAAAAAGATACAAAGAAGATAAAAAGAGCCAAAAAGAGGGCTGTGAAAATATCTACAGACCCCTCACATCCCGGGCATAAACTATTTCAACTCCTTCCCTCAAAACGAGGCTACAGAGCCCTGCATACCAGAACAACTAGACAAAAGGACGGTTTTCCCCCCAAATGCCATCACTCTGCTAAACAAATAATTCCCTCAACACTGTCAACTATTTACAAAGTCTGCACTGCTATTACAATTACTATTACTATTACTATTCATCTTCCCATCCTTCCTTTCATCCATCTCCTCCCACTTGTGACTGTATGACTATAACCTTGTTGCTTGTATCCTAACGATTTTTATTTACTGTTTCCTGGTATGATTTGATTGCTTATTGTACCCTATGACTATCATTCAGTGTTGTACCTGATGATTCTTGACTCGTGTATCTTTTCTTTTATGTATACTGAGAGCATTTGCACCAAGACAATTCTGCCACAGAATTGCAGAACTGGTTTAACAGATTTTGAAGTAAGGGAAGACCAGGCATTGTAATCCCTGCATGCAGTTATCTGAATGGGTTTTCATTACATTAGGTTGACTCGGGTTGACTCAGCTTTCCGTCCTTCCGAGGTGGGTAAAATGAGGACCCAGATTCTTCGGGGAAACAGGCTGACTCTGTAAACAGCTTACAGGGAGCAGGAAAGCACTGTGAAGTGGAATATAAGTCTAAGGCTATTGCTAAGTGGGAAGGAAGGAAGGAAGGAAGGGCTGTTGTGATGGCACAGTGGTTAGAATGCAGTATTGCAGGCTAATTCTTCCAGCAGTTCTATTCTCACTGGCTCCAGCTTGACTCAGCCTTCCATCCTTCCAAGGTGGGTAAAATGAGGAACCAGATTGTTGGGGACAATAGGCTGACTCTATGAACTATTTAGAGAGGGCTGTAAAGCATTGTGAAGCAGTATATAAGTCTCAGTGCTATTGCTAAGTGCTACTATTAAATCCAATCTTAAACAAACTTAAAACCCTTGCAAATCTTGGCTGATCTGGGGTGCCTTCCAAAAGAGTTTGGAACTACAGCTCCCACAATTCTCAGCCAACTTAGCCTGGAGTAAAGACATCCTTAGGGCCTCCCTGGAGTGAAATCAGTGTAAACAGATCCAGGAAAACCCATCCGTGTTCAAGATATTCCGCCTTAGAATCGACATCTGTCCACACCTCTTCCTTTGGCTCTGCTCAGGGTGGCTACTCCACCTTTACTTAACTTACCTCTTCCCACTGATGGATGTACCGTATGAGCCTAGACAGTCTCAGGAGTCGCAAGAGGCTGAGGATTTTGGTGAAACGGACAATCCGCAGAGCCCGCGCTGTCTTATACACCTCCGAATCGATGCGGGTCTCCACAATCAGGAAAATATAGTCTACCGGAATAGATGAGATAAAATCCACCACAAACCAGCTTTTGAGATACTTCATCTTAATCCTCTGGGGGTCCAGGATGATGTCTGTGTTGTCTTCCACCACAATCCCCGTGCGGAAATTGAGAACCAGGTCAATGAGGAAGAAGGTATCTGAGACCACATTGAAGACAATCCATGGGGTGGTGTTCTCATCCTTGAAGAAGGTGATGCCTACAGGGATGATGATCAGATTCCCAACCATGAGGAGCAACATGGTGAGGTCCCAGTAGAACCTAGAAGGCAAGACGGGAGACATGGGTCGAACGGAAGAAGACCCCAAGGGGAAGACCCCAAGGCACCAACTTTGTCCACAAGCTGGATAAATAAGAAGCAGGCGAACCCCTGGAAATAACCAATGGAAGGGAATGTTTGTGGCTCAGCGTTGAACTTTGGGGCCCTTCATTGCTCTCTAAGTTGGGTTGTTTTCTTGAAGATGGTTCATTCTCAAACTCGGTAACGTGATCAGTGTTAGAAAGCAGCAAACCCAACTCCCTTCTAACATTGATGATATTACCTAGTTGGGTCATGAAACGTCTGCAAGAAAACCACCAAGCTCAGACAGCCCCAAGGGCTCCACAGTCTTCCTCCCTCCTCCCCGCTTCTCCCTGCAAACCCCCACTCCCTTCTAGCACTGATGATGTTACCTAGTTGGGTCATGAAACACCTGCAAGAAAACAGCCATGCTCAGAGAGCACCAAGGACTCCTCCTAGAAATAAGAACCAAGATCCATCTGAGCAGACATTTCGTTCAAGAAGTTGCCCTCCGCGTTAGCGTTCTTATCCTTTTCCAATATTTGATCTGAATTTTCCTCTTCTCACTTATGACCTTTTTAGATGAAATTACATTGTATGAATACTGGTCTTTTAGTACGTCAACTATTGATATTTTAAGGTGTTTTGTAGATGGGGGTTGCTTGTTTAAACTTTGAGAAAGGTGGTTGCATTGCTAAATATTTCTGCAGAAGTCACATTTGTTATATTTGTTTGATGTATATTTTTATCCTTTTTAACTTGTTCTGTCATGCTCTTTCCTTTATGTTGGTATGCATTTTAATCTTTGAAGATGAAATCTAATGATGATATTTTTAATAAATGCATATAAGCTATATCTAAGCTACAGCGCAAAGTGGGTCAAAACAAACATTTCCTACTATCCAGGCCTACTAAATATTTTTGTGTGTTTGTCTCACAAAGGACCTGTGTAGCTGCAAATGAAAGAATAATGCATGACATTATTCAGAATATTTTGTCCCAGTTTTTAACATTGCTTTTCCATTGTTCTGCTTGCTTACTTCCTCAGATAAAAGCCCACAGACATTTGCATCATTCCTTAACACTGAAAAAGGAAATTAAAACTAGAATAGCTTCCCCAAATTTTAAAAAGATTGCAAACAGCTATGCAATTTTAATGCAACAAAAAGACTCTATTTCTTTTGTTTTAAAAAAAGACTTTTGTTTTTTTTTTATTTGCTCCCAATTTATAATTATATCTATATCAATCTTTGTCAGCAAGGGATCATGTTTTACAACCAGAGAGATACTCTACAGATTTATCGCCAACCATGTCAAAAGGCAACACTCTGGTGTATTAATATCACTCACAAAAGCCACATTAATCCCAGGTAATCTGGAGGGTTTTGCTGGATTTTTTATTTTTTATATTTTTTGATAGGGCTGAGCTGAAAGTTCTCCGATTAATTTTTTTCAGTCCCAAATGGAACCTCAGGGGAGACTAAAAGTCTTTCCGGATGTTTCTTGTGCTAATTTGGATTGAATTTCAAGCCAACGTCATAGAGCCAAAATTTGGTTACATTCATACAGAAACCAATTTAAAACTCTCTCTCTCCCTTCCTCCCTCCTTCCCTCCCCCATCTCTCTCCTTACAGATAAACAGAGTTAGAAGGGACCTTGTAGATCAACTAGTCCAACCCTTGCACACCCTAGCAGACCCTACACCTACCTACCTACCCTTCCTTCCTTCTTCCTTCCTTCTCCCTTCCTTCTCTCTTCCTTCCTTCTTCAATCCTTCTCCCTTCCTTTTTCCTCCCTCCCTCCCTCTGTCCTTCCTTCCTTCCTTCTTCCTTTCTTCTCCCTTCCTGTTCTCTTCCTTCCTTCCTTTTTCCTTCCTTCTCCCTTCCTTTTTCCTTCCTCCCTCCCTCCCTCCCTCCGTCCTTCCTTCCTTCTTCCTTCTTCGTTCCTTCTCCCTTCCTTCCTTCCTCCCTCCCTTCCTCCCTCCCTCCCTCCCTCCCTTCCTTCTTGCCTGACTTGAAACCTACATGGTAAAACTGAAGCTGTCATCTCTTTTCGTTTCATTAGTCTCTTAACTTGGTACGGTATGGTCAGATTCCCAGGAGTGTATGCCCAGATACATTCTTACATAAATATAAATGGTCTAGAACAAAGCTGGCTGAGGAATTCTGGGAGTCGAAGTCCACAAGTCTTTAAGTTGCCAAGGTTGGAGACCCCAGGGTTGGTCTAGAACATTGGGGAACCTGTATTTCTGAGCCCTTGTGTAGCTTAACACAAGGGTACCGCCAGTCCATGGTCTGGCACGCTGGGCCCCAGCCTGCCAGCAACCGGTTCATGCAAACAAGCAAAGTCCCACCCGTGGGATGCAGGCAGCATGCAAATCCACGCCCCCGCCCCGCTTCCAGTCCACGGGAAAAGCTCTCTCCCACAGAATTGCACCCTGGTTACCAAATGGTTGGGGGCTGCTGCCCTAACGCAGAGAGTGGGAACTGGTGTGATGAGTGAAAGTGAAGTGGCCATGTCCCAGGAAGGAGGAAGAACATGCCAAAAGAGGGGGGGGATGAAACAAGAGGAAACGGAGACAGAGGAAGAGAGTAAAGAGAGACGCTTCCTAAAATCTCCCAGCGTTATCTTCATTGGCTGAAAGGAGTAAGGGTTTAGTCCAGCAAGATTCTGTCTGTGGTGTGTGAGCAAATCAAGAACTGAGCTGCGTCCGGATTGTTTCATGCCATTCTTGGGCTAAGCCAGACCCACGCTCCTCTACTCGTTGCAGAAGACCTTATGTCACCAGACTCGAAATTCTAGACCTAGACAACCTAGAACTATGCCACCTTCAGTCTGATCTAAGTATAGTATATAAAATCATACATTGCAATGTCCTACCTATCAATGAATACTTCAGCTTCAACCATAACAACACAAGAGCACACAACAGATACAAACTCAAGGTAAACCGCACCAAACTTGATTGCAGGAAATACGACTTCAGCAACAGAGTGGTCAATGTCTGGAATACTCTACCTGGCTCTGTGGTTTCTTCCCCAAACCCCAAAAGCTTTAACCTTAGACTGTCTACTATTGACCTCACCCCTTTCCTAAGAGGTCCGCAGGGGGCCTGCATAAGCGCACCAACGTGCCTACCGTCCCTGTCCTATTGTTTCTTTTATTTTTCTTATATGTACCTATTTCATGTATTCATAACTATATATATACTTATACCTATTATCTTGTAAGCGATTGACAAATCAAATCAAATCAAATAAATAAAAATAAATAAATAAATTTACCAACCCGGGGGGGGGAATGAAACTCAGCAACTCAACGCTCAGGTTTAAATGCCCAAGGAAAGGTGACCTTAAATTATCCAGTAGCTACGCAAGCCATACTCACACCACGTATCTTCTTAACCTCTTGTAGACTCTTTCTTCTCAACTTGACACCTTCCAAGTAACTTAGGCCCAGTAATTCCTACCCAGTACGGATGATGGGAGTTGTCCCAAGAGGGGAGAAGGGCAGGGGAGCCTTGATAAGCTACCCATCTTCCACTTTTAAAGAAGACACAGGACCTGTCATTGCTGTCAGGGTTCCGGCATCCACCCCCATTCAAATCATGAGTCTCTAGCCACATTTCTCAGAGTTAAAACAAAACAAAACATGTATTAGGATTGAACATGCCGGTGCTACCTGGGTGCAGCCAACTCTGAGACCCATCATTCATTTCCCCCTTGACCCTGGTCTTCCCCGCACCCCCTGGATGTATATTCTCCAATGGGACACATCCATAGCCAAGAGTCACCAATCATGCCTTCCGGTAATAATCTTGTGCGCCAGAAGCTTCGGCCACCTAGCAATTATCTATGAAAGCATTTAAGGAATGCATTGCTTTCCCCCAACTCCCTTTCTGCTGGCAACTCTGAAAGACCAGAGAAATATTTTTAAATTGACAATTGCATAATATCCCAACGACCACAGACAGTAACCTCAACGGTAAGGCATCCTGTCCCAAGAAATCTGCTTCGCTCCCGTTCTCTTTCAGCTCATCCTCTTTAATGCTCTAGGACAGATATGAGCTACATTAAATCCCTCGGCTCAGCTATCAATTAGTCATGGGCCACATTTGGCAACATCCCATCCAATTCTTTTCAAAGCAGCGTCTCATCCAAAGCCTTTTAAAAAGAGATGGCCGTTTTGTATTCTTTTGGTTTTCATGCCAAGAAAGAAAGAAAGAAAGAGAAAAAAAACACCCCACAGCTAGGTTTCTTTCTAAGGAAATTCCAGACTGGACTCGGGGTTTGTTTGTTTTTATTTGATTAGATTTAATTCCATCCTCCCAACTTTTAAGAAGAAGCTTCTTCAACTCTGCTCTGCGCTTGCTCAAACACCAAGAAACCACGAAAGCGAAGTTAGTTTGTTAGCACTTAACTCTCTCTGTGGATGATATATTTCTTTTACTTTTTAAATAAACTTTATTTATCTTTTATCATTTTGAAAAGACAAACAACCAAAAATATAAATCTTATAAGATCAACAGTTTGTGACATTCATCTTATACTAATATTTTGTGCATTATTTACAAATATATAGAATTTGTGCGGATATAAATCGTTAACTTATCTAGTGTTTATCCCTATTTATTTACAATCCATTTACCAATCCAACAATCTATCTTTGCTCAATCCAATCATACCATTTTTCACACTTCTTGTAATCATCAGATTCCTTTTTCTCTTGTAAACTTAAAGTTAATTTCTCCATCTCGGCACAGCTCATTATTTTTTGAATGATCAATTCCTCTGGTGGCATACATGTGTGTTTCCAACATTGGGCATAGGCCATCCTGGCTGCAGTTAAAATGTGCAATATTAAACATTTTATATTTCTCCCATATTTCTTTCTCAATTTTCCCAATAAAAATAATTCTGGTTCTAATTCTATTTGCTCATTGGTAATCTCCTGTAACCATTTTTCAATTTTTAACCAAGGG